GGGGGTAGTGGGAGACGGGGGAAAGAGCGAGAGATAGGAGGATCTGTAACCAGAAACGGGTATGTATACCCGGGTACTTTATTACCAATTTAGGGTACACGTAGAAATCAACGCCCCTGCACCCCCAGGTACCCCCAGGTAGCCGGCGGCATCTCTAGACCCTCTGGTGCTACCGATGCTGGTTACTGGTGTACCCGGAAACGGTCGATTTCGTACCCAGAAATGGTCATATAATCCCGGTGCCGAAGACTCTAAAACCCGCAGAAAAAAACGTGTACCGCACATACCCGCACGACACACCAATTAGTTCTAATTTCACGTATTTATCGACTCGTGGGCCCGGGCTCCTCTCCTAGAGGGGGTCGAACTCCCTCGATCCGCGAGTTAGCTCGCTGTGCTGCTCGTACATTATTAGGTAATGACAGAGAGACAAAACGGGCACGACCTGCCTCTCATGCTTCCGGGGCACAGCAGCACAGCAGCAGCAGCAGAGCACGGCGGATGGTTTCGCCGCGATGTACGGAGGGGGCTGTCGGAGATTGGTATCCTTCGAGGCAATGTGCCCGTCAACGAGCGTTGTTGGTGGTTTGTGTGGCTACTGTGGGGTATGTGCGGTACTGGTTGGTGTGTCGTGCGGGTACGTATGTATGTATGTGCGGTTTACGTTTTTTCTACGGGTTTTAGAGTCGTCGGGCGCCGGGATTATATGACCATTTCTGGGTACAAAATCGACCTCTTCCGGGTACTACACTAGTAACCAATATCGGTAACACGAGAGGTCCTAATAATTCCAGCGGAAGTTGTACCCGATGGATTTTTTTTCAGAAATGGGTACAACACTGGTTTTTCGGCCAATCAGCTGACAGCCTGGGCGTGCAAGCGTGTTGATTTCTAGTGTTGTACCCTAAATTGGTGATAAAGCACCCGGGTATACCCGCTTTTCTGGTTACTGATGGTCTTTCTTATTCGACACACTCTCCCGTAACCCCTCGTTTCTTACGTAGTAGGGCAGCGGTCGCCGCTGTTTCTTATTGAGAAATCAAATTTCTTATTGTGGGAACCAGACTGAGCCATGTTTCTTAACCGTATTTTCTTATTTTTCGTGGAAAAGTGAGCCTAAATTTCTGAAAAAAATATTTCTTAATTGCGGGCGCTAACTGTACAGTGGCCCCCCCCCAGGGTGGACCTTGTCAAAAAATGTTCGAGCGAAAATCGAAATCGATTTTCGATTTGGGGTTGGCTCTACACGGCGCAGGCGGGGAATCGAAATCGATAATCAACCTGGAAGAGGCGAACAAGGCCCGTACATGCCAGTTGCGATGAGTCAAACCATGACCATGAAAGCCACACGATATCCAAGACAGCAAACGATAGCTCCGAATAACGGGGATGATCAGGCGGGTTGGGGGGTCTTTGTCTCGCATCGATACGCTTCGAGCTCAGCGAGCAATGGGTGCGTGCTGATGTAGGAAAGCCAAAATATCTGCCGTTGAACTGCGTTTACAAAGAAAGAATTTCACGGCGATGACTCTCTCTCTCTTAATCTCGCTTAAAGAAAGTATGCCGTGCTCTGCTGGATATCAGCTTTCTGTCAAGCTCTTGCTTGCATCACCAAGCAATAGACGAGTATCGAAATGGAGGCATGTACGATGCTGTGCGGGTGTGGCAGCCAGTTTGATGTTCCGGTTTGCATTTTCGATTTTCGATTCCGAGTCTGTTCGTGCGTTCGTGCTCGCTTTTGATTTTAAATTTTTCTTAATATGACCCAACGAATCCATCTCTATCATAGAAATATATCGGAGAATATTCTCGGAATACTTACCCCCAGATCGAAGAAACGGCGGCGGAACACTGGAGCTCTGTCCAATCAGTGACATTTTCGGTTTTCGATTTTCGATTTTCGACGGAATAATGGTCTGGCAAGGTCCACGAGTTTAATGTGAAGACAACAACAACAACAACAGCAGCAGCAGCAACCCTCAATAACGCCGGTATGTGCCCAGCGCATCGATCGGCGCTATTCAGAGCGACCGGCGTTTGTGGAATAGTGCCACAATAGCGCCACAACCGGCGCTATTGAGGGATCAGAAACCCTTAATATCGCCGGTTGTGGCACTATTGAGGGGTCGTTGTGGTCATGTGGCGCAGGGACGAGCCCACATATATATATAGTCTATTCATTCACAAATTGAAGAAACGATTGAGTGGTGAAGTGGGCGGACTGCAAAGGATAAATTATCTTCCTGGAATGCCCAGAGTTGTGTTTATTAAATGATCATCCACAGAGGAGGCAGCTTGCTGATCCTCCTGCTTTTATAGAGAGAACTCCGCGACGGCGAAATGACGACACACCTGGCACCATTGAATGGAAAAAGTTACATACATGAAGTTGCAAAGATTCGAACAACAGCTCTATTTCGTCCTTCATCCAAGTGGCGGGAAAGAACAAGAAACGACCGCGAAAGAAGCGCCACATGCAGATCATCAGACACAAAACCAGCTATGCCGGGTAGAGACCGGACGGATCAAACGCCAGAAACGAAACAACAAAAAAAAAACGGCTTTGACTACACCCCCTCGTTATCTTTTTCGTCCTCTGGGGCTTGGACTTTCGAGCCCCAGCACCCTCCGGTGGCGCTGTCGCTTTGCGCTTTCCAGCTTTGGCTAGACGCGAACTGCAGACGGGGTGCATTTCGTTGTCGTCTGCGATGCTTCCGCAATTGCCGCGGAGCCGCCCGCCACATCCTCCCTGACAGCGTTGGTTGCCCATGACGGGGTTCTGACGAAGTGTCGGGCGACTTGCACAATTGACCTTCCGCACATGGCATGGTGCATCTCTACGTACAGCTGTAGGGTCTGTAGACGCACGTGTGTACCCCAACTGGTGTGTAACCTCCTTAGGGCACGTGCGTGGTGTGTGCGTCAAAACAAACAACCGGCGCTATTGCGGGGTGTAGAGGTGCCCAAACCGGCGTTATTGCGGACCGCCCTCAATAACGCCAGTGTGGCGCTGTTGAGGGCTCTGGCTTTGCCCAGCAATTTCACCGGCGCTATAGAGGGCCACCGGTGTTTTTCAACCGGCGTTATTGAGGCCCCCCCACTGTACTACAACAACTCACTGGAGTGCTCCTTGTTCTTATGCATGGCATGTACCGGCAGTAGGTGACATAATATATCGCATCATCAACATTCACAGCTAATAATGTTAGTCCACGACGAAGAGGATGTCAAACGATACGTACGTACGTTTGTTTCGGAAAGCTAGCGGTGCCAACGCCACCCGGCCACGCTTTCTGCTGTGGAGTAGTCGAGCTTGAAAATTAAAAATTGTTCAGGTGGTGTGATATCTTATGTCATCTATTCTGTGTACAGAACTCTTCGTCGTGCTCGGTGGGCGAGCTTGTCGCGGTGTTCGCCCTCAACGTTGTCAACCGCTAAAAACTGGAAAACTTCAGGCAGGCAACGCGACGATACTCGTCGAGTTGCTATCACAATGAATCAAGGGCACGACAAAACAATTCCTGGACCCACACTCCACTTTTTTCATTTTGGGCCGGCCGAGGGCGGGGGGGGAGGAGGGGGGGGGGTGTACTCATAGCCGTGCATGCCGTAGTCGTTAGACCATTGACCTCGCATCCCTACAAAGCCGGGACGGAGCACGCCGGGTTCTCACCGGACCAGGCTCTCACATCACCAAGCGCGAAGCGCCGTGAGGTATTCGGCGAGTCGCATGAAGGGTGAGCTGCATCCTGCTAAGGGTGTTCGGCATCTTGTGCTTACTTCCTTGCATACGGATGACAGCTGCGAATTACTTAATTTATTTTCTGGTGCTTTCACTTCCAGAGACAGTTGTAAGCACTGTGTAACTGCCTCGAGGATGCTTGACCATTTTAACACAACGTGGTGCGATCATCCCCCCTGCGCGGAGTGAGGGTTCTCCACCCCGCACAACATGATCTACTCGACCACCATTCATGGTTACCGCAAAAAAAAAACAGAGGTAAAAAAAAAACCGGTAACCTGGTTGCCGAGTTCACGA